ACTAGGGGAGGCTGTAGCACATCATCCAGCGAAAAAGCAACACAATTTCTCATGGAGTTTCCTATTCCATAACATCCAGATCTTCAGAGTGAGACTAAAATGCCTTGCTTCAGACAGATTGCAGGTCATGAATGATGGGGCGATACCTGGTTGGACTAGGAATCAGTACCACACACTGTGCCTTCCTCTGTTCCCTCTGCTCAAGTCCCAAAGATGGCACGTAGTCATGGTTCGCAGAGCCTTCTTTCCACAGGGGCTTACGCTCAACTTCTCTCATGTTTATTCCACACTCCTAATTTTAGTGAGTCACTTCAGGACACAACTTTAAAATGCTAACAGATTGCTCAGACCTACCACCAATGCCTTGCAGAACAAAATGGAACATCCTGGCAGAGAGAAGTAATAGTAAAAATTGTATTTATTTTCCTTTCACAAGACAAAGGGAAAAAGGCAAAAGGCTGCTTTGGTTTTATTTTCTCCTTATCAAACCTCGGAACGTTGACTCTACAAGGGAAAAAAACAAAGAAAAACAACAACAAAAAAACCTTATCCAAAAAGGCACTTTCCTAGAAGCAGCAGTGGTACGTTAAGCCAGATAATCACTGCAGTAGGTCCCAAACACTCCCATAATCAGTTCATGGTATTGCCACAGTAGAGTCCTCTGTTAGGCCTTTATGATCACCAACCACCATTTTACTGTCTCTCGTAGGGGTTCCTAGCTCACCAAGATTTCTGTGGTTTAGTCCAAAGGGCCCAAAACAGGAGGAACCAGTAGAAGGAGAAACCAGGCCTCACTGACTACACACTAGGCCAGGGCTGACAATTTTGTGGTTGCTTCTAAAGCAAGCAGTAAAAAACCCCACAGAGTAGCAACAGTGAGAGCAGGGAATGAAAACAGCATCCATTTATACCACTTGGTGTGTTGAAGAATGCTTATACAGTCAGGAAGATCTGCTGTTTCCCCACAAAGTCTTTGTTCTTAAAAGATGTTCAGTGTTGGGAGAGGTGCAGATATTCAAAATCCTGCATGCCTCCAGGATATACCCTAAAGCTGGGCAGAACAAAGGGGCAGCACTGCATACATACACGCATGTGGTGCCAGCCACTGGAGGGGTGTTCCCAGCACCTTCTTCTGCACAAACCTCACACCCGGCCCAAATCACAGGTAGGTAGTTCTCAATCAAAGCAGCACTGGCCTCCGATCAAGACCTGGCAGCTCAGCATTTAAAAAAAAAAAAAAAAAAAGTGCACACCATCCTTAAGCTCTCATGGCCATGTTCCCTGAGGGACAGGGAACTTGTTTTGTAAAAGCGATGGACGATTTGTCTTTCTCATTTTTATCATCCAAGAAGAGACAAATAAACCTGGGACAAACAGAGAAAATTTGCATGCACAATCTTTTATGTTTTTGACCATTGCCTTGGCGGAACTAAGCAAACCTCACATTGCTTATGGTTAACCTAGGAAACAGAAGAGGCCTCGGACAACTGCAGATCTAGAAATCATTTCAGTCACATGCAGAGGACTTGTAGTAAGCACCATGCGAGAGAGCTGTCTCTCTGGGACCAGGTGACATTGAAGATCTGACCGACTCGTGGTCATCAAAGGGGCCGTTAGACCACTCCACTGCTGTTCCTAGGCGTAAGAAGAGGAGGCACGCTGGAGGCAGAAAAGTTTTTTACAGTGACATCATAATCTCTTAGTAGTGTAGGAGAAGGGATGGCCGATGCTCTGTTCATCTGCATTAATCCTAGTGTAGCGCCAAGCTCATGTGCCTCAGCGATCCGCTTTAGAGTGTAGTGTGCACCAGATGTAACAATGCCGATGGTCTCAACCTTATTCTTGTTTCTCACTGCTCTTCCTCCATTATTTTCCAACAAGAACCGTAAGAGGATCAATATGTCCTTTTGGCCATCAAGGCAAGGGACAAGTTTTGTCCCACAGTTTGTCCAACAACAATCTTGCCTCTGTGGTGGGAATCCTCAAAGGTACAACAGCAACTTGCAAGAGATACGTTAACTTCCTCCGCTGCATTTCACGAAGATGCTCAGCGAGAAGAGTAAAGCTTTCCACAGCCCTCCTCAAGACCTCCCAGGAGAGATTTGTACTCCAGGTTACTTGAAGAGGTCCACCATAAATGACTCAAAAATGGACTTGAATTTAGACAGTACAGGTTCCCTACCAAGCTCTCTGTAACCTTGGAAATACTTGAAAATATCATGCCTTTCCTTTAGGATCCGTCCAAGCACTGAAAGATCTGGTGCATCTTAGATGCAGTTATGGACATTTCGTCACAGAGACAAACTCAGTGTAAAAGACAGTTCAGGTCTTCATGTGTCAGGAGCAATTTAAGCTGTTATTTGGATGAGTTCTCCTGCTCATCGCAGGGTGTTAATTTGCCACTACTATAAAATAAATCATTGCTGCACAAAAGCTCCTTCTAAATGGCTGGACATTCTTCAAGAAGGAAATCTTCAAGGCACAGGAGCAGGCCATCCCCATGTGCCGAAAGATGAGCTCGCAGGGAAGAAAACCGGCCTGGCTGAACAGAGATCTTCGGCTGGAACTCAGGGACAAAAAGGAGAGTTTATATAAGACCTTTGGAAGAAGGGATAGGCAACTCAGAAGGACTACAAAGACGTTGTGAGGTTATGCAGGGAGAAAATTAGAAGGGCCAAAGCCCAACTAGAATTTAATCCAGCTACTGCCATACAAGACAATAAAAATTGTTTCTATAAACACATTAGCAACAAAAGGAGCACTAAGCAGACTCTCCATCCTTTATTGGACGCGGGAGGAAACAGTGACAAAGGATGAGGAAAAGGCTGAGGTACTTAATGCCGCCTTTGCCTCAGTCTTTAATAGTAAGACCAGTTGTTCTTGGGGTACCCAGCCTCCTGAGCTGGAAGACAGGGAGCAGAACAAAGCCCCCATAATCCAAGGGGAAATGGTTAGTGCCCTACTACACCACTTGGATACATGCTTGGGATCCACCCAAGGGTACTGAGGGAGCTGGCAGAAGTGCTCACCAAGCCACTTCCCATCATTTATGAGCAGTCTTGGCTAACCAGGGAGGTCTCAGTTGACTGGAAGTTAGCAAATGTGATGCTCATATACAAGAAGGACAGAAAGGAGGATCTGGAGAACTACAGGCCAGTCAGCCTGACCTTGGTCGCAGATCATCTTAAGTGCCATCATGCAACATGTATAGGACAAACAAGTGATCAGCATGGGTTTATGAAAGGCAGGTTGTGCCTGACTAGCCTGATCTCCTTCTATGACAAGGTGACCTGCTTAGTGAATGACGGAAAGGCAGTGGATGTCATCTACCAGACTTCAGTAAAGCCTTTGACACCAATTCTCACAGCTTTCTCCTGGAGAAACTGGCTGCTCGTGATTTGAACAGGCATACTCTTTGCTGGGTGAAAAACCGGCTGGATGTCCAGGCCCAAAGACTTGTAGTAAATGGAGTTAAATCCAGTTGGTGGTCAGTCACAAATGGTGTTCCCCAGGGCTCAGTACTGGGGCCAGTTCTCTTCAACATCTTCATCAGTGATCTGGATGAGGGGATCCCGTGCACCCTCAGTAAGGTTGCAGATGACATCAAGGTAAGCAGGAGTGTTGGTCTGCTGGAGGGTAGGAAGGCTCTACAGAGGGATCTGGACAGGCTGGATCGATGGGCTGAGGCCAACTGCATGAGGTTCTACAAGGCCAAGTGCCGTGTCCTGCACTTGTGTCACAAAACTGCCATGCAACGCTACAGGCTTGGGGAAGAGTGGCTGGAAAGCTGACCAGCAGAAAAGGACCTTGGGGTCTTGATCAACAGCTGGCTGACCATGAGCCAGCAGCATGCTCAGGTGGACAAGAAGGCCAATGGTATCCTGGCTTGTATCAGGAATAGTGTGGCCAGCAGGACCAGGGCAGTGATTGTCCTCTTGTACTCGGCACTGGTGAGACCGCACCTTGAATGCTGTGTTCAGTTTTGGGCCCTGCACTACAAGACGACCTGAAAGGAGGTTGTAGCCAGGTGGGGGTCAGTCTCTTCTCCCAAGTAACAAGTGATAGGGCAAGAGGAAATGGCTTCAAGTTGTGCCAGGGGATGTTAGATTGAATGTTATGAAAAACTTCTTCCCTGAAAGGGTTGTCAAGCACTGGAACAGGCTGCCCAAGGAAGTGCTTGAGTCACCATCCCCGAAGGTTATTTGAAAGACGTGTAGACGTGGTGCTTAGGGACATGGTTTAGTGGTGGACTTGGCAGTGTTAGGTTAATGGTTGGACCTGATGATCTTTAAGGTCTTTTCCTCAACGATTCTATGAGCTGACCTCAGATCCTCATGTTCCAATTTGCACCCAATTTCCATGTCTTTAGATGTATGACATCAAACAGAGACTGCAGCATCCTGTTCCCTGCTCAAACCAGACACAAGAAAGTCCCCACCAAAGGCTTCAGAAGAGAAGGGGATGAAAAGAAAAAGAAGTTGCTTTAGCCCTTTCTTTCTTCTCTGTTTTCCTCTACATTTTTCTTGGGACACCTCCTCTAGCACATCCTTAACTTCCTCCTCAGTTCCTGCTCTTTGCTCTCCCATCCTTTCGTTGCTTTGAGGACTGCACTTCAGAAGTCCTGAGAATCAGGTGATGAGATGTACATTTCTACAAAGGCCTATTCCAGGTTTACAGCTACAGAAAGGGGCCTTACTCCTCTGAAAGGCTGATGGAGGCTGCCACAAGCAGCCCAGCACTTGCTCCCCTCCTGAGATTTCTCTACCTGACCAAGCAGAGCAGAAGAAAGGTCCTGCAGAGAAACAAAAGGTTGCTGGTAGGCAGTTAAAGTCAAGACAGAGCACTGCACAGACATCAGCTGAAGCTACAGGCTCCACCTACACCCACAAATGGCTTTTATCCTCAGCTCTAACCACCTCACTTCAAAAGAAGGTTCATTTGTGATGGAACAGCTGGAGAGTTGTGGACTCCCAGGCAACATCTCTTAGCTGACCCGCAAGTCACTGCTCTTCAGAGTCCTTCTTCATGATATTGTATGTGGCAGGGCAGAAGTGAGAATGCAGCTGAGCCAGCAAAGCCTGGGATGTGATCTCTAGCCTTCTCCCTTGGCTCTTCTTGTTCCATACATGCACTGCATAGGTGTTATTAAATAGGTGGTGAAGATCTGAGGAGCTGATTGCTTCAAATAACTTCTTCCAGTCCTGCCACCGAATGGGATAAAAAGCCTCGCGGGGCAGAGCACTCACTCCTTTGCAGCTCGTACTGCTCTGAAGACTCCTGATGGAGCACCACTTCTTGAAGACGCGCGTTAGGAGCTGTGGGCCCTGGTGCCCCCAGATCCAGCTGCTGTAATTCTCCACAAAGTCCTGCATGCAAAGCTTCATGAACTTGTGTTTGGGCTTAAAGGACAGAAAGGCCCCATTCAATACATACTTGGACTGGGTACCAAGCACATTAGTGAGGTTCTTCAAGTTCTTAAGCACAATGAAGTCTGTGTCCAGGTAGATGCCACCAAATTTCCACATGATGGCAATTCTACAGGCATCAGACAGGATGGGTAAGAAATAAGGCTCCCAGCGGTGCTGAGCCTGTGAGTACCACTTTGCCAGAGGTGTTCCAGAGAAAAGCTCTGGCAAGTCCAGGGGCCGGACTTCCACGTTGGGGAAGCAGCTCAGCAACGAGAAGCCCCAGTGGTTGGGTAACGAGGCGTTAATGTTTGCCAAGGCTTTCATGAGCACCACGACCCTTGTCCCTGGGTGCGTCCGAGCTGCTGACTCCACAGAGCACATGAACAAGTAACTTGGGTTAGTTCGGTTCGAGGTCTCCACAAAAAACACATCCCCTGGGGAAGGAGGGGGCCCACCACCAATGGTGCAGGGAGGAGAAGGCACAGAGCGAGCACAGAGGATTTTAACAGGCAAGCTGTAGACCTGGCCTCTGCCCTTAGGGTCCTCCGTGATTTTCCAGTACAACACGATGGAGGCAAAGGACATGAACTTAAAGGCGAGGATAAACAGAGCCCTGAACTTGTGGCTCAGCACCACCCTGGTCAGTTTAGCAGGCAGTTGGACATCCTGAGCATTCTCGCTCCCGTCAGAGCCTGCTCTCCCAAGACAACCGTCGTGATCTGAAGGGGAGGAAAGAAGAAAAAGACATTGACAGGGAAGGCAACAGACCACAAACCTCAGGACAGTACTACGGCAGAGCCACATGCTGAACTCTCCTTCATGCTGGCATGCTTGAATAACACCTTTAGGTCATCTTTAAAAAAACATCCTGGCTTCTCCATGCTGCCACAGGGCCCCATTAGAAACCACAGCCCACGTTTAGGTTGTAAGGTTATGCTACAAAGCTCATCTGCACACACACAAAAAGCTCAGGGGGACAATGGCAGGCCAGGGAGCCCAAATATACCCTGCGGGGTACTCCCAGGTCCATCCCAAGAGCCTTCAGCCCATCAAAGGCCCATCTGCCCAAGCCCAGAGGAGCACAACGCCAGGCGGGATCCCGGATCAAGGACTCTGGAGGAACCAGCACCTTGTCTGGGCCCCTCCCAGGACAGTCCCAGTGTCCAGGCATGAAACCCATCACCAGTGTCACCAGAAGCAGCTCTCCAGATCACCCTTTGGACAAAGGGGGTCACTGCCTAGGGGTGGGACATATTACAAGGTGCAGGGGAAGAACAGTTTGGAATTGCACAGGACTTATTATGAGATATGTAGCAAAGGAACCAAAGGTGGGGCAAGGGAGGGGTTTAGGTGATTTTGGGAGGAACAAGAGTGGGAAAATAGAAGTGTAAGAGGATAACAAGGGCTAGACGCAAGTAAATAGCTTGCTGGTCAGTACGCTTGTCTGGCTGTGCCCTGTGCCTGATCAGCACAGTCTCCCTTGTCGTCTTATTAAATTCCTTTCTGACTCTTTCCTGGCTGAGGGCTTTCAATTCTGTGTGCACATCAGAGCGCGAACGCAGCAACTGGGGTCAGCCCGCAGGTCAGAGGACCCACGTGTCTGTGGTGCCAGCAACTGGAGCGAGCGTGGGTATGCCAGTGTGCAATGGCTGGCAAAGATCAAGTGGACCAGCTTGTGAATATGCGAAATGGCCTGGGAGCCAGGAGGGCGAGTGGGTCCCTAAGGGCCAACTCTGGGTGCGAGAGCACAGAGGGGGGACGGCTATGAGATGTGGGAAGTCCTGGCCAGCTGTGTGTGTTTGATAGCTTATACCAGCAACTGGAGTAGGGCAGTGGCCTTGGGGAGTTGTATGTCCAAGTGCCAGCAACTGGGGAGACTGGGATGCAGGGGCAGCTACTGGGCGGAGTGTCTAAGCCCAGCTGCTGGAGGGATTCACCTTGAACATATGTCTATGTATATTCTCACTTGTGGACTTTCATCCTGTCCAGCCAGAGAAGGGACTAGGATGAGGCTGTTGGTGCTGCCTATGTTCATGTGGGTGCTCTGTCTGCCTGTGATCTGTGTGGCCAGCCATGTGTATGTACATATGCACGTAACGTATACGTGCGCTGTGTGTGCGTGTGCCTGCAGAATACATCTTCAGCCTCACTACGGTCTGGACACGGAGCAGCAGCAGTCTCACCTCTCTCGGGTCATTGGATCTGGTATGATATATCGTCCTCTAGCAAAGATTACTCCTTCAAAACCAAAATATGGTCAAACCTCTCCATTTATCACAAATCAAGACTGGTCCTTACTTCCCTGAATGCATACTGTGCTTGCCACTTGTAAGGAAATACAGCACTTATTCCATTTTATCTTCATCACTCCATTATTTTCAAATCAGACATGTACAAGAAGAACCCTAGATACCAGAATTTTAGATTCTCTTTTGTCCTCTGGTTTGCTGTCATACTAATAATCCTGACACCTGACAGGGAGTGGGACAGCTGCTTCGGAGGTGTTTCATTTCCCCAGAGGAGAACCACCTGCCAGCCCCCCCCAAAACTGAGAACTCTAAAACCCCAGTGCTATCATCTGTTCCTGTCAAGAGGCCTCAGCTCCCAGAATCACAGAATGGTACTTCTTTCCCTTCCATTTATGCCTCAATAACCACTCTGTGTCCTGTATTGGCTACAAAGCTCCACAACATGGTAGTGTTTATTATGTTCCTTTGCATGGCACCTCTGTTCTTGACCATGCATATTATATTTAAGCCTCGAGACTTAAAGTACTTAACGCTTTCCTTCACCAAAAAAAAAAAAAAAGAAATAATCATATTTTTCCCTTCTTTCAGTATTTAAAACCACACTTTGCGAAACAGAATTGAACATTACAACTGTTCAGCCTTCAGTACAGCAGTCGTCTTTAAAAGACACATTCTCCTCTTTTCCCACCTATTCTACCCACGGAGCCAGACTGTCTCTAGCAGCACGCTCCGGGGTAGGGGCACACCTATATACTCTCCTGTCTGGCAGTTGAGCTGGGATACACACTGCTATCTCTGCTTTTACAACCCGAGTGTGACTGTCCTGGCCAGCCCACAAGTTTAGATCTCTGAAGTCCAAAGTGTAGATTTAACCACAAAGAGATATGTTGCAGTAGATGGAAGAATAGAGCTGAGTTTATTTCCCAGGAAGTCCAACAGTTTTTAACGGTCTGAAATAAGGTGTGTCGATGCACAGTCTAATTGAAGGGCGCTGTCACCCATGTGCCAACAACTTCCTCAAAGCCTGCATAGTCAAAATGGTGCCAGGTTCTTAAGAAAGAAAAAATCAGTAAGGTTTCACAAGGAACATACTCTTTAAAGAAAAAAAAAATTGCCTGAAAGATGCAAAACATTTGCATCTTCTCTGCTTTAATCCTCGTTTCCCTTTTGGTAAAAGTTTGCATAATTTAAAAGAAATAAAATCAATACAACCAACAGTAAAAACAAAAGTTTTGTGAGACAAACCAAAAATGTGCAGAATGTAATAGCGAACTACATTATGCCTGCTGCAAATAGCTACGGGTCAAGCTTAATAACAGAACAGAATTTTCCATTTCTGATTAATCATTCTTCAGTTGAAAAAAAGAAAAATCTCCACTGAGATTTTTTTTCTCTCTCAATTTTTTTCCTCCGTTTGAACAAAACCCTTATCATCCTATGATTTTTCCACACAGAGAGACCGCTTTGGAGCGTTTCTGCTCTAACTACAGACAGTGACACATCATCCGGCCAGTAGCACCCGGCGCTGACGTGCCTGGGAAGGGCCATGTCACGGTGAGCGGCCCTGCCCCTCCATACCCTCTGCTTTCCTTCTGACTCTACAAGGGGAACACACACTTTCTTTAATATGTACATAGTTGCAAGAAATGGCAAGACCCTACCATCTCCCCTCCCTCTGTTCTCTCCCTTTTCTCTCTATCACTCCACTCATGTTTGGAAGGAAGAAGAGTGAAGGACTGAGGTTTTTTTTTTTTTAACCACATTACACCTGGAGTACACAGTATAGTTACTGCTAGGCTAGTACTACTGCAGGAGCAAAGAGTTTGGGGGTGGGAGAAAAGAGAGCGCTACACAACTCCACCCTGCAGAAAAAGCACTTCAACAGCAGAAGTTTACTCCAGCTCTGCCCCACAATAAATCTTTTACAGCCTGAATATGAGGGTTTGCAAATAAAACTGCATCTCTTCTATGGCTTTTGCCAACACAACTTGTTCAAAGATCACCACTCGTGAACGACTGCAACTGGCTGGTGCTGGCCCTTCTCTAGAAAGCTGTCCTAGGGAAAATGGCGAGGCACCAACGCAGCGATACAGGGGTATGCCAGCCTCACACATGGAGAGGGGAAACTGTACCCAGGTCACGTCCACACAGAGTTTGTACTGTTTGGCCACATCACTGCTAAACCAGTTTACACCCCAGCATAATGAATACACTGCCATAAGCAAAACTTTCTTGACTTGGGGGATTTCACTTAATTTAATTTATTACAAATTAACATAAACCTTTAATTACTGATTCAGGTACTGAGGGGAAAAAAAAAAATACAATCAACCAAAAATTAAGCAAACACTTTGGGAAACACCTTTCCTCCTCTTTCCCCTCATCTTCAGTCCAACACCTCTCCTCCCCCCTTCCTAGTCTCAACTTCCCTTGTTTTCACTATGGGTTACACTCAGTCTGTCCCAATTCCTTCGGCGAGGCAACAGGTGGCATAGGATGCTATGGGTCAGCGCGTAACCATTTCTTTTGGTTGCTCCTTGCATCTCAAACTTCCCCCATGGCTCCTTGCTTCTTACTGCTCCTCTGCTCCAGCATGGGTCCTCCACAGCCTACAGTCCCTCGGTGCATACCTGCCCTGGCACAGGTTCTCCATGGGCCACAGTCCCTCAAGAGTGTCCCTGTCCCAGCATGGTCCTCCACGGACCCTTTGGGGTGTCCCTGCCCCAGCATGGGTTGCAGTCCCTCAAGGGTACCTCTTCCACCACAGAGCACCTCCTTCCAAGAGAGGATCTCCAGCCACATACCCAACAATGTCCCCTTCCACACGTCTCCTCCACTTCTTCCTCCCTTTACTCCAGACATGTCTCTTCATGTATCTCCTCACATCTCCTTTTGCATGCACTCTTGCATCTCCTCTCACACCTCCTCCTGTGTCTCCTCACATCTTTGCCTTTATGTCTCCTTTTATTTGCCCTCACACATGTCCTTTTGTGCCTCCTGCCCCACGTCACCTCTTCATGTCCTTTTTTGTGACTCCTCACGTCTCCTTTTCTGCATCCTCCCACATTTGTCCTCACGTGCCTCCTCCCTGTGACTCCTGTTCCTAGCAGCCACTACCCTTTCTTAGAAATACCTTCAAGCAGAGTCACCACGTGCTGCTCTGACCGGTTGCACTTTTAGCGTGCAATGGGCTGGTTTTGTCCCTTTTTGGAGCTGGCTGGACCCAGGTGGAACTGGCACAGGGCAGCTCATGGCCCCTTTCCACACAGGTCACCCCTGCAGCCCCTACCTCCCCAAACCCTGCCAGTTACACCTAATACAGACTACCTTGTAATGCCTAAATACAGAGAAGTCCCTAGTTGGGTTTTTTTTCCCCTGTAAGGGTGAAATCTGGATTTGGATGTTGGATTACCAACTGGTGAGCAGTTCTTCACTACCTAGTACAAACAAAA